CCCCCCCCCCATCCCCCCCCACCCCATTATGTTCTCTTGAACAAAGCTGGAGTAGGGTGCTTCTTATGACGGCCTCACCCCACCCGTCTTAAGCACCCCCTAAGCTTTTCATAGATTGGTCCGAAACGCCGTTTCAGATCACTGAACCCCCGTGCGTGCCTTGAGATAATTTTATACAAGTCCAGCTCGGCATCATCCAGGATTTCCTCCGCTTCTTCAACATCTGCCGGGAACAGATTGCCCGATCTGTCTGTTGAAAACTATTTTTTTAATATTTTTTAAATAATTTTTTTAACATCCAATCCAGCCGCTGCCGGTAGTTTGCCACATCTTCGCCTGCCATATCCACATCTCCCTGTTGATGACGGAAGGCTGCCCTCCAGCCCCAAGCTGCTATGGACTCGGAGGGGTAATTTGTAGCAGGTCATCATGCATGACCTCCGTTGGTTTGACTCAAGTGGTGAACGGGGGACCCCCACTTTTCAGCTCTTGGGTTAACGGGTCCAAAACTGAAATTAGGGACAAAAGAATTGTCGGAAAATTTAGACCCTCGTTAACCATCTCTCGCAAAGAGACAAGCGCACGGGCACACATATATCATAATCATCATTGTTTTTTATTTTTTTGTTTGTACTGTGTTATCGTTGCGCACAGGGGCTATGCTAATCTTCTCTGCGTACTCCAATTTTAAGGGAGGACATACATGCATCAGCACAAGGTCATACAGACTCATAAAAAAACACAGCACAGCAAAACAGAGTTAAAACTCGGAAATCTTAGCACACAGATGAATGGCCGAAAGGGGATCCTTCGGCTGGACGGCGGACGGAAGGAAGCGTGAGTGTGTACTATGATGTATTCAATTTTGACTTGACGGGGGAATAAGAAAAGGACTGACGCTCTCCAGAATGGATATGGAGCTTTCGCAGAAGGAAGAAGCAGACTGAAAACTGCACAGGTCATTAGAGTTGATTGGATGACTTTGTTTCTGGTGAAGCAGAGGGATATAGTGCAATAAGTCAGCCATCTGTGGTGCTATCTAGTAGGTCTTACTCTGGGGCATAGCCTGACATTATGTTTCATGTGGTCTTGATGGTTGCAGGTTCTATTGCTGCGTCTTCAGCTTCGGACGCCAGTCCAGGGCATAGTGAGGGGCGGGGAGCCGTGACAAATGAGACACAAATGCACACATAGAGAGGCCCACAATCACCCTCATATGCAGAGAAAGAGAGAAAAACGGGGAAAGGGCGCACAAGGAGGATCGAAGACTCACCATCATACACATACGCACACACTCATACACGAAAGCTGCTTCGATTTTGGTTCTACTCATCTGGGTGGAACAGGGGCTGCTGTAGTGAAAATCTATATAACTCTCACACACACAAAGATAGATAGATAGATAGATAGATAGAGAGAGAGAGAGAAAGAGAGAGAGAGAGAGAGAGAGAGAGAGAGAGAGTCGCACAACAAGAAGCAACACATACTCCACACACACACAGAAAGAGAGAGAGAGAGAGAGAGAGAGAGAGAGAGAGAGAGAGAGAGAGATGGTGGCAGTAAGTGATGCATGGGATGACAGTGTTCTGCTGCGGGCATGCAATGCAGCCGTCAAAAAGTACATCGTGAGTCTGTATTCCACCTACCTATAGGCTTTTTTTTTCCATTGACCATCTCTCCACCCATTTATCTGCTCTTTTGTTCCCATCTGTTCATTCATCTGTTTGCTCATTCACCCATTTGTTCTTTTGTGAGGAGCACATCACAAGGCTAAATACTCCCCAGGTAACCGATAGCGAACGAGTACCATGAGGGAAACGTGAAAAGAACCCCCATATGGGAGTGAAATAGAACATGAAACTTAGTACGATCTTTTAATCCCTCTGTTCTTAACTTCTTTCATTCACCCATCTATTCGTTTAATCTTCCGTCGCCACCGTCGTCCCATTTGTCTGTCCTCTGAACCCTTTCATTCACACCCCAATGCAGAGCAGTACTGCCCTTTAATTCACCCCCCAACACATCATTTACATCATATTTGTGATCATATTTGTGATCACAAATTTGTGATCATATTTGTGATGTGAAGGGCAGTACTGCTCTAGGTTGGTTCCACGTGTCTCTCCTTGCTGTTAGAACCTGTCTGAGGCTGTGTTGTACTCAGGGAAGGGATGAGAAATGCTGGGCCTTTTTTTTTTTTTTTTGCAAGAGAAATGTTGGCTTAGTTTCGCAACAGAGTGCATATGTCTGGTAATAGATACATTTTTTTTTTTAATTATTTTTTTGCACATTCGAAATGTAACTCTCTCTCGAGGTGGTTTAGCACTTTGTGTTGAATTCTGCGGCTTTGCCACAGTTTTTGTAAACACTGATGCGCGGTTTGAGTGATGCGTATGTGCAGGGACAAGTGTGTATGTTCTGAATTTACCCCTGGTATAAGGGGGTAAATTCTGAATTTACGGTAGTGTTCTGAATTTACCCTCGGTGTGGGTGGTTCTATTTTGCAAAATAGAACGGTAGTGTAGGAGGCGTGCTTGGCTTTTGCTTTGACTGGTCCAGTTGACCACTGCCATCTTCATCCGAATAGAACCGACGGTTCGGTTCTTGTAGCTGTATTTGGGGCAACTGTCAGTCTAGATACAGCGATAATGACCGCGTGTTCCACTCGGGTTTTAAGGCGGTAGTGTAGAAGGTGCCGGCCGGTCCTTCCGTGTTGCATACTCGTGAAACACAGTCATAATATGGCGCAGATTCCCAGAACAGACCAGATAATACAGAGTAAATACAAATATAGTGGAAGACTTGAGAATCTTGAGATACATGGATTGCCCCAGACCGGACTGTGCAACGAAACACTCACAAACATACATCGGTGGTGTGAAGCCCTGGCCTTGGACATAGAAGAAAAGGCCAGAGTCAATTCTCATACACGGATGAATGGAGGGGAGGAGAGACGGAGGGAGGAGGAGGAGGGAAGATGACGTCAGCTCAATGTTTCCAAAGATAGTATCTCGGAATATCAGAAGCAGCGAAAATCCGAAATGTCGTGAACACAGAGTCTCACTGTGTCTCAGATATCGATCTCACAATGCCAAGGTACATCTCCAGAGGTAGGTGAAATCAGATCCCAAAAGTAGTCCTCAACCTGCAGTCTCAAGGTTGCTATCCCCACATCATCAGAACTCATAACCATCCTTCATACTCGTAGTAGTCCAGTAGGAGTAGCCCAGAAGTAGACTTAGACTTAGAGGGTAGGAGGAGAGAGAGAGAGAGAGAGGGAGAGAGTGGAGGAGGAAGAAGAGGGAGGAAAGGCAAGGCCTTTCTCCCTGATACCTGCACGAGGCAGCTATGGCGCAGCAGGGCTGGCGCTGGGCCGCAGGCTGGCGCTCTTCCACCGCTGCGCTAATCTGCCGCTGCGCTATCTCTCCTCCACGCTGTGCTGATCCTCTCCGCGGCTAACGCTGAAGTGCTGCGCTAATCCTGTAGACTAACATCCGCTACTAACCTCCTGACTGAGGCTGGTACCCAGCTGATATAGTGCTGGGTCAGCCTCAGTCCTACTGAGTGCCTTCGGGTCTGGACCGTTGATTGGACCCAACGGTTCAGATCCGATTTGAATCTGAAAAGTGGCACCTAAAACTGCGCCGCCGGCCGGTCCTACCGATGGACCGGTACCTGGCCTAAACTCAACTAGCCGTTGGGTCTGGTGGGTCTAAACTCGGCCTACCAGACTCAAATCTGAACCGGCGGTTCCCTAGGCCTACCTGGACCTAGCTGGGGACCGTCGGGACCCGGTACCTAGGCCTAACCCGTGCTTACTACAGAACCAGGCCCTAACTGGGGCCCGTGTGGTATCAGTATGCCACATTCCGTGTGTTGCTTTTTCTTGCGTCGGATTCCGTTGCAGCTTCTGGATATAGTGCAACAATTGGGCATCAAATGAACAAGTCAAGTTAACGCCTTTCTCGCCCTTTGGCTAAGATCAAGCACTCTTGCTTCTTTTTTTTTTTTTTTTTTTTTTTTTTGGGTTCAAACTCGATAGCCCATTTCTGTTCTTTAGGGCAAAAGTAAGATCAAGCATTCTGATCACAGCTTAATGTCTGAGCTGTGGTCCATCTGACCGTTAACAAAAAAAAAGAGAACCCAGCTTCAGGTTAGTTAAATTCGGGGGCATGCTAGGTGAAATAATCCCCCTGTCATTGGCATGAAAAGGGGTGCTTAGATGTCCATTCAGCAAGTCCCATGTCTAATGATCTCTTTTTATGCATATCTCTGCCTGCCCCAGTGCGTGTGTGCAAGCTTGTGTGATCGAGTAGAGCCACTTTCATATCCAGTCAGCAAAGCCCAGTGTGTCTCATGCATCACTGAAGATGCTCTCTCTCTCTCTCTCTCTCTCTCTCTCTCTCTCTCTCTCTCTCTCTCTCTCTCTCTCGCTGTGTGTGTGTGCACTTGCACATGTGGCTGGACATGTGCTTGAACATCGCTTTGGCCAGTTGCCCCAACCTTACCCAGGGCCTGGAACTGGGGGTCCCCGTTAACCATTTGTGCCGATAAGGGGGGCATCCGCTAAATTTGGTTTGTGGGATATGAATTGAACAATGAACCTGTGTTGAATAACGGTTACATTGTGATATTTTTGTGTGCTACTCAGCCGCAGGCAGGTACAGACTGGTTGACCTTGATGGCTTCTATCATGTGTGTGTGTGTGTGTGTTGGGGGGGGGGGGGGGGGGGGGGGGGGCGTATATGCCAGTCTATGCATTCGGGCTCAAAGAAGGCGACTGACGATGCTGCAGTTGAGGCAGCAGCACTGGACTCAGTATCTGCAGTGCAGAGCAGGCAAGGGGCAAGTTCAGTTGCGGAAGACTCCAGCGGGTACGGTGTCTCAGGTCATGCTCATGCTACTGTCTTCGTCCGAATAGAATGCCTGTTCTTTATAACTGTATTGGGGCATCTAGATCAGCTAGAATGACCAGGCGTTCGATTTGAGTGAAGACGGCAGTACCTTTTGTGAATGAATCTGGCCATAGTTTTTGTACGGTGCATCTGTGAAAGTCCTCGTTTGAATAAGCCCTCTGCTTTGAAAGGTTGATGAATTGTGTGATAATCTGGGCTACCGTCAGGGCCGCACGGGTCACACCTTCTTTGACTGGGCGGCCCTGCCGGGCAAGGACCAGGGAAGGTCCCCACAAAAAAAAAAAAAAAAAAAAAAAAATCAGGAAAAAAAAACTACGTTGTGCAGAAAAATAAACTGAACAACTTTTGCCTCAGTTCACATCGAAATTCCTTCCCAAATTTGAAGGAAAAAAAATAAAATATTTTTATAATTTTTATTTTTATTTTTTCTGGTCCGGCCGGGCAAGTGGCCCCAGGCCACTCTGGTAGCCCATGCGACATCCTTGGAACACAGTCTTTAGGGGTGATGGAAATGGAATCTAACGACCTTTTTTTTTCTCGTTTTTTTTCAACTTTTTGTATGAATCTGAATAATTTTTGACCGAAGTTGAACTGAAAAAAAAAAAAAAAGAATCCTTAGCAAGCAAATCCAGTTTATCACCAACGGGCCTTCCGAGCTCAGCTGGCACACCCATGAACTGTTGAAATACAGACCCAAGTTCGAATCCGGACGGAACCAGATGAATATACTCTAACTAATTCTGGATTGCCTTGGGCCAGTCAGCTCGACATTGATATCTCAGGGCGCCATGGCGTCATCCTCTGGAAAACCAAGGGAAAGAAAAGAGGGGAATAAAGGGAGAAGGAAATGGAAGAAAAGAGAGAGAAAAGTCCAGTTTATCCCCCAAAAAAAGGAGTCTGTATGCCCTTGGCACAGACAGATGTGACTGTCAAGTTGACCTTTGGTTTCAGATTGTGTCCTGGTTCTGTCAGTTCCATTGTCTCCAGGTCCACGACAGCCAATTCCCGAAACTCTGGAGTGGGACTTTGGTACTGGCAGAAATCCCTAGGCTGTTGCTTCTGAAGTGTCGTTTCCGTCTAGATCAATACGCAGGGGCTCTTCTTCTGTTACATGCTGAAAGCCTACACACGGGCCCCTCACGGGACCCAAGGTTGGAATAGGGCCCCCAGGTCGCGTCACCGCAACCTGAAGGCCCTATGRCATTTTTACTTGGGCCTGCATCAGAAAAACGCCAGCTTTAGATTATTTTTATAGTCTTTATTTTATTTATTTGCTGCTGTTTTTCTAACGGGTGTACTGTTGTCCGTTTTGTGGCCAGGTACATGCTTCTAGGGCCAGGGCCAGACTCAGGCCCAGCGGCTGAGCTCCTAAAAACGTTTGGACCTTTTCTTTTGTTTTCGAACAGATTTTGACCTGTTCGAACCCAGGCCGACGTTGAGGCCGGGTACGTCCGCACAGGACCGGTTTGAAGCCAGGTACCAGGAAGATTAATCCTGGACAGGGCCTGGACGTCCGGTAGGGACCCAGGCAGGCCGTTTTAGGCCAAGGACTGAACCAGTTTTCGAAGCCTGCGATCTGGACCGTGGATCGGAGTTTCGATCTGCACGGTCCAGAACGCAGG